ACAAATTAGCAAGTTTTTAATGCTTATTTCAGGAACAATCAGCCCTTCACATCTTCAAAATTCTGCTGATCTCATGAACAAAATCATGTCTAACTTCAATATAAAATACTTATCTAAAGCAGTTGACAAAAGTTGAAAATTTCTAAAAAAAAGTTCACCTACCTCCATCCAAATGAGGAGATGGATGCATTTCCCCCCACCTCTATAAAAGTAAGATAATTCATTTCTAACAGATGCTATCAAACCACCAAAGAATTTGTCTAGCTCTGAGTAAGAAAACAAGTTTGAATTTTTGAGAATGGCCAAGGAGTTAAAATATGATTTTACATGCAATTTACAAACTGCTCCCTTTTTTCTTTCTATTTTAATTGATGCATTTAATTTTTACATATGGATTTAAATAATTGTATTGACATTATCACTACATAGTATCATTACATTTCTCTAAAGTAGCTGGAACTAATGAATTTGTTAAGTAAGAGTTTTACTCCTTTTGGTGACTGGCATATCTATGGTGTGAATGAAGGATTCCTATTCTTGATAGAGAGGGCAGAAAAAGAAAATCTCCCTACTGATCAATAAAGTGACAAAAAAATTTGACTTTGTATAAACCATAGTTTTTAGAGGGGGGGGAATAAAAATACAGTTTAACTTTTAGTGACATTTTAGCCTGCCATTTTTTTTAATTCTTAAAATTTGGCCATTTCATAAAAATGCTGAATATTTTCACTATATAATGTCTTACTAGTATATTAAATGCCTTACTCTGTCTTGATATTCTGTTAATTTGAACAGACTCAAAGGACTTTATCAAACAGAATGTGAACATTGCCTATTTTAGATATACATGTATAAAAAAAAAAAAAAGAAAGAGGGTGAGAGTGATTTAATTAATAGTTAATTTTTTTCAATTCATTGTTTCAAGAAAAATCAACAATTCTCTATTGAATAATTTGCTTAGTTTATAGACTAGCACAGTGTCAATCCCTACTATACAGGTATGGTTTCAGGTAATTTTATGATAAAATAAAGAAAAAAAATGTAGTACAATGTGTGTGTGTGTGTGAGGGAGTGTTGTTAATACAGTGTAACCCGGATATAAGAGAGATTTTCTCTGGTCCCAAATTAGAGCCTGTGTTAATGTATACATATAGACCAAAACCGGATATAAGAGAAACCCAGATATAAGAGACTTCTTCTCCGGTCCCGACAAATCTTTTATATCCAGGTTACATTGTATTTGCAAACAATTTCATAATGTCCTTTGTTTTATTACAATTATACATTTTCATCAGCATAAGATGAATCTTTTGGGGGGTTTTATTTCCTCTAATGAAACTATTTGAATTCAGAAAATATCCCAGAGATTTGGGTTGAGGAGGAAATTAGTCAATAGCAGGAAACTGTGAAAATGAAGATTAAAAACAAACAAAAAAAAAAAAAAAAAAAAAAATAACAGTAATTTTAAAGAGATTTTAAGTACAAAGAAAAAAAAAGGTAAGTAAAATTCCTACTGCATATCAACTAAACTCATATAGAAGAACATAAAGTTAGCTAGTAGAATAAAGAAGAAAAAAAATAACCGGTAAAAGGAAAAATTTAGATAAATAAAGCAAACATCAAAGAGCTATTTGCTTTCTGCCAACAGAAGGCAGACAAGTACAAAAATTGAAGGAAGGAAAGCATGTATATATATATATATAAAAACAACAAATAAAATGGTTATTTATCCTCAAAGTTCAGATAAAGAAACTATTCCCTTACTTTTTGGTGCCTGTTCTTTTTTTTTTTTTTATTTATTTATTGCTGGTGCCTGTTCTTTGTACAAAATCCTTAACTTCTGTTTCTTAAATAAATCCATATTTGCTTAGAGTGAACAACAAGTAGGCTAAAAATTTTTTTCCCAAAATGGCAGCACATGCTAATTACTTCCCAATTGACTTTTGGGAAGAGTTCATTCATTGTTAGGGTAAACAGCCTTTAGAAACCATGCAGTGTTTAAATAAACAAACTTAATGAATAATAATTAATTTCAACCGAATTACTAAATAGAAAATAGAATATCCCTCCACAAAATAAAGTGGGCCTGATCAAAAAAAAATAAAAAAATTGGGGTAGGGGGGAGGGGACAATATATTTGTAACCTAAAGAAAAATTAGGAAGAATATTATCTTCTAAAACCAAATCAAATTCCCCCCACTCTTATATATATTAATTGAACTATGTACTTAGTTCATGTCACGTTAACTGGAAAATACTTACAACAAAAGAATTCGTGGATTTACCAAATTACAAAATTTATATAAAAATTCTCACTTGAAATATTTGAACTTTAGCATTGCGACTTGCATATTTCAATATTATATAACCATTAATAAATAACACATTCTTAAAAAAACATCTTTCGGTCTACAACACATTTATTTCGTCAAGTTTTGATTTTAAAGGAAAAAAAAAATACAGCCTGATGATGAGGACATGAAGTCCTTGAAAGTACTTGCTTCTATAAAAAATACACTAGATCCATCTGACAACAATTTTATACATAAGGACCGCAACAATCAGTAGATTGTTAGTAGTTTAATGCTTATATTAAGTCTATTAGCAAAGAGATTTCACCATTAATCACATTAATATTGCTAATTGATTCAATGTATGATTATTTCTTTATAATATATAATTATTATAATTTAGGCTCTACTTTTGTATTGAGCACTGTTTTTAAAAATAAAAACAAAAATACTAAAAAGAACTTTGGATTATTTACCCAATGTGTTTCTTTCCTATATATTTGCACACACACACACACACACACATATATAAAATATATATATATATATATATATATATATATATATATATATATATATATATATGTATGTATGTATATGCATGTATATATATATATATATATATATATATATATATGAAAACAAAACACAATCAATAGTGACACACTCAATAAGAAATAAAACTGAAATTTAACATCATAGGCTAAAAAAACAAACAAAATCAAATATTGGGTTAGCCAATGAATCTGTTTCTTTTAAACGAAAACAAACACATTTATTCAATCAATGATATAATTAGCATTTTATTCCACTATCTTCTATCATCTTGAAGGAAAATCAATTATTCCTTGCTCAAAGAATTTCTGGTTTTCTTCCAGGTGAATTTTTACATCCTCTTCAGAGCTGAAAGTCTGTCCATACGATGAATTTTAAATAGACCAAAACAGGTGAAAATCTAAAGGTACAAGGTTAGGCAAATATGGAGGGTGAGGTTAAACTTTCCAGCCAAGCCCCAGTAACTTCTGCTGCATCTGCAAAGAAGTGTGCAGTCTGGCATTGTATTGATGAAATACAATACCCTTATGATTAGTAAGTGCTTGGATGCTTGTGCTGGATGGCTGGATTTAATTTGTCCAGAGCTGGTCACAGAACATTGATTGTCCTGTCTGTAGGAGGAAACTTGTAAAAGTCAATACCCTACTAATTGCAGAAAATTGAAAGCATAACCATTTTCGGGTGAAGTCCTGCTTTGGAGGGTTCTTGTAGTCATTCACTGTGCTTCCTCCCCATGATAGCTTGCACTTTACATTGCTTTAAGATTGGTTTCTGCAATAAATCACAGATGGAAATCTGCTGGGTGGGGTTAGTCTCATTCAATTGATGTGGTACTCAAATACTGACCATGATGCAAACAAGTTGATGCAGATAGTTTTCAACACTAGATTTGGATATTCAGAGAATATCTGCGATCATCCCAGTCATGTTAAAAAACTCCTTAATTTTGTCACTGTTAATCTTAGTTGGCTGGCCAGAGTGAGGTGCAACTTGAAACAAAAAATTTCCTGAGTGTAATCTTGAAAACCATTTTTAGCAAACACGTTCCATAATAACATCATCTCCATGCACAGTACATATCACCCTGTAGGTTTTCGCTGCTTTTAAAATAAAAAAAAGCTTGAGGTGTTGATAATGTTCATTTTGATTCTCCATTATCAGGGTGATCCCAAGAAAACAAAATACAACTTCTCCTATTGCAAGTTGATGTCAAACTATGTGTCAACTATCTAATGAGTGCACATGCATAAGGAACAAACTGAAGTTAGCTATTTATTAGTGTTTCAAGTTTAGTATCAACAGAAACTGAACAAAATTTTTGGCCAATCCAATATAACAAGAATATAAAAAATATTATTCAGTGAATTAGATTTTATCTTTCATAAAAAGAAAATACAATAAAGAAAAAATACAAACTAAATATTGTATGAAAAAATTATCCATATTAACTAGAATCTTAAAAAAAAAACAAACAAAAAAAAACACTCCTCCACATTGGCCTGCACACCATATCTGTCCTTGACATAATAAGAAAAAGAAAAGAAAAATTGTTTAAATTAAACAAAATCAACAAATTTTACAAAGAAAAAAAATTTATTGCAATAATTCTTTGGACTGTACACTCATCTTACAGATTACACGCAGATAATTCTTTGGACTGTACACTCTTCTGAAAGGAGGCACGGTAGATTAATGGATTGCGGCTTGGTATGAGGAATTGAAGAATTGAGTTTGAATTCCAGCTGAATTCATTACATGAACTTATGTGCTAATACATTTGGGACAGGTAAGAATCTATCTCTTCTCCTAGCCCCCCAGCTATGGGTAAATAGTAGGACAGATTGGGTTCTATAGCCTTGGGTAGCAACCAGTCTAAGAGAAGGAAAACTGAATTCAAACTAGCCTCAAGATTGTTGGGCTCCATCAGGTTATTTATGTCAGACACACCATGGCTAATGGCTTATGGGACTCTTCTTAAACTGAAGCTTATAAGGAATTCATGAGCAATTTTATATTTTCTTCAATTTGCTATCCTTAGCTCAAATATTTTATTAGAAACTAAAGAGGAGAAGAAAGTAAGCAATTCTTTTGTACAGCTTTTTTGTCAATTATCTTCCACCCAGTTATAAAAATCCTAAAAGTAAAAAAACAAAATCATCGAATCTCTCCTCCCAATTGTTTCACAACAGCCGCTTCAATTTGTAAGTGGATATCATTAACCTCCTTTTGAGAGAGAGTCTTTTCAAGGTGCCGATAAACAATACGATAACAGTGGCTGCGTTGTTTTTTCTTGGGATGAAAGTAATCATCAATGATGTATACCTGCTCGATTATATTCCCGCCAATATCACGAACGAGGGCATAAAAGTCATTTTCTTCATAATCCTCTGGTAACCAGAATGAGATGTCGTTAATGCACTGTGGATACTGACTGACAGGCTGGAAAACAGAAAGATTCTCATTAATAAATAAAATACAACAAAAATACAATAAACAGACCACACATCTCCAAAAAAAACAAGCAAAAAAAAACACTGAAATTTTACAATAAATCTGTGCATACCTTGAATTCAATTGGCGTGTATGGATCATTGAATTGGAACTGTGACAAAAAACCAGTGTCATTGCTCCAAAATTGCCGTATGTCTTTGATTTTGTAAAGGATCATTGCCAAACGCTCAAGTCCTAACCCGAAGGCCCAACCAACACGATTGCCAGCTCCAGCTAGAATACGAAAAGACAATAAATGAGTTCTTGTGAAAACAAATGTGCATTAATGTGATTTCTTTTTTCAAATGTTATCAGGATTTGTGGACGAGAAACAAAACAGCATTTCTCTAAAAAAAAAAAAAAAAATCTTTAATTTCCTTGTTTCATCAGAATCATTCAGGCACAAAATAAACAATTTAGCTTTTCTCTTATTTAACCCTTTACTTCTAGAATTAATTTTTCAATTCTTTCAGTTCTGTGTAGCAACTCAAATTTAATTTCAATTTGTGAACTATCAGTTTAAACCTTTTTACACACTTTTATTCGGCAAGTCAATGGAATTGGAACTGGCAGTTTTGTGATTTCATCAGATTTTGGGAAAAAGAGAACCTTTGAAGCATTTTGAAATGTTTCATTATCAAAATTTTCTCATCTATTGATGAAACAACAAAAATCAATAATTCTGAAGCACTTTATTCTACATGGAAGTGGCCATATTGCTAAGGCTGATTTAATAGAGTGTACTCCTTTATGGCCAGTTATTCAGATTCAATTGTGAACAAATGCGTGTATTTCATTGGTTAGATTTGGCCAGTTCATTTTTAAGTCGATTAAGTAGTAAACACATTTCATGGGGTGAAGAAATAAGAAAAAACTCTTGCTGGCCAAAAATATTCAGTTATTATTTTAGTACTCAACTGGGGATCATTTTCTTTTACAGATAAAAAGTCTAATCAGTGAATGGTCTCCTATTTATGTCTAGTAAAGACAATAGTTGGGAGTCTTACAATCTTGTAATATGAGCAAAAAGTTGTATCAGTGATTTTCTGTTTAGTAGTAGTAGTAGTAAAACAACACAACAGGGTTTGATGGCCATTTAGACAGAGAATAAGAAGAGAGAAAAGTTGAATAAAAGAAACAGCTTCCTTATTTCAAATTATCTGACCACTTTCAACAGGGTGGGGTTGCAGCACAACACTATGACTTGCCTGCTGATCATTAATGCAGGGTACAATGCCTTCAAGTAGAAAACATTATAAGAAGAAAACACCTTAGAAGGTGTTGATTCTCAAAATATAAAACAGCTTACCTCAGAATTCGAAATGAGCGTGAACGTGTCTTGCTTGCAAAGTGATGACAAAAAGAAATATGAACGCTATTGAAGATGCAATTTATGCGCGCCGATCTTGTCCAAAATGAGACGATATTTTACAAACATGCAAATTTTGGCCATATTAGAACAGGATAAAAAGCGGGGTGCCAGGAGCACGAGTGAATCGGGAGTCATTCAGCGGACTGCATGCAATAGAGCTGGATGTATGAATTGACAGACGAACAAAAAGTCGAAGTAGGCGCGGCTGAGTTTGGTGTCTGTTTACAACTGCCCAGTGTAACAACTGAGAAAGGAGTCGCGCAATCCATTTCCTTGACGCGACCGAAGAAGAAAAAATAGCTGGCTTGCCGGCAAGTACTGCATTTTTTTTTATCGCCCCCCCCCTCATCACCATTGTTTTGTTTTTTTTTTCCTACAGAGTGGCATATGGCATTGTCCTGCTAAATAATGCATCATAGAAGACTGTTGCCATGAATGGGTGTACCTGGTCTTCAATGATGTTGCAGGTGTTATGCAACAAATTACTTTCCAAAATAATGATAGGACCCAGGATTTCTCAGTAGAACATTGCACAAACTATCAAATTGTTTCCATTGGTTTGTTGTTTATCCACAGTGTGTCCTGGAATCTTTGTTTCTCCCAGAATAACGATGGCATCTACCTTATTCCAAAGTTGAGGATCATCAGACCTGGCAAACTTCTGCTGATACAACATTCACGTTACTTGTCTGCCTATTGAAGATGTTTTCAATTACAAATATTGATTAGCAGAGGTACTCTGACTAATCTATGATTACATGGATGTAATAAGGGACAATGTACTGTGTATTGTGACACATCTTTCCCTTCATTTTGATTAAAGATATCTGCGATTCATGCCATAGTAGCCCATCCGTTGGCCCATATCAGGCTGTGAAGCCTCTATTCCTTTCTTGTATCAATAGGTCTTGACCACCCAATGCCTTATCAGTGGTTGATAAGTTTATCTCTCCTCTTACCACAGGCAATAAGCACTTATAACAACTCATGTCATTTCAGAATTTAGTCACCTAGACAGAACAATTTAACCTTCATCAAAATCACTCAAATCTTTCTTCTTGCCCATAACTATGACATTTAAGACATTCCATTATTGTTGATCAGACCATGAACTACTGCCAGTGACAATGAACAAATGTCCCCTCAAAGAGGCCTTGAGAGACTATTGGGCCTTAAACGCACCTGGCCTCAAGTGAACTCGTACATACGAGTTATCGCTAAAGAAGGCAAAATGGTTGGCTCTTTGTACTGCTCCAGTAAGTACCTGACTCCATGTGCTATCTTCTAACTTTACAAGAGCCAAATCAGACCAAAAATGCAGTACTGTCTGTAACAAGCATGCACGGAAGCGTCCTCAAACTGCGTGTGTGTGTTGTCGCCAGGCACACCTTGGAGTACCATAATGGACTCGACTGAGGACTACAAGAAGATGCGCAAGTCGTTTGGTGTCTTTTCCTGGGCGACAAAAGCCGTTGTGGTCAGTCGTCCGTCAGCAGCAGTCTTGGGTTCCATTTTGCTCATTTGCTGTCATAAATTGTTCGTTCGCAAGAAAAGGCGTTTGCTTCAGGTTTGCAAGAAGGCGTTCGTTTCAGGTTTGCACTTTCCAGCTTCAATAGAGTTCAAAAGCATCTCTGAGTCCTTTTGGGTGACGAATTATTCTCCACCCTATAAACTCTCTCCCACAGTTGGAAGGCAACAAGCCTCTTCTGTTCTATCACTACTTTCACAGAAAGTGCTCAGACAAACTGCATTCTTTGGTTACACCAGTTCTAACCTTCTCAGCAAGAACCCGCCTTGCCACACCCATTGTAGCAAATCACCCACATTCCCTCCATATTCCATCGGCGAGAAATAATTCCACTTGAGCATCTCCTTCATGTGAACACCTGCTTATCTACCATGGAATTTGACATTTGTAGGTGTTATGAGACAGTAGCTGAAATTCTTGCCATGTTACTAATCAAAATGTTTTACCCCATCATTGTATATTTGTATGTGGTTGTGTGAGTGTATTAACCTACCATTGTGCAAAATTTCCTGTTCCATAATTCCACAGCCAAGAACTTCCAGCCATTCTCCTTGATATTTGATCTCCATTTCCCAAGATGGATGAGTGAATGGAAAGGTCGTTGATACCCACCGAGCTTCTATATCTGAAAAGAAAAAGAAAATCCCAAGTAAAATGTCAAATCATGATTGATCCAGAAAATCCAGATGAATATTCTGGTATACAGACTTCAGTTATTTTCTCACCAATGTGACGTGCCTTTCCTCTGTTTTCTACAAATATTTTCATAGCAACTGTTCTGATGATTTTTTTTTTCCCTGGTGCCGACTTTTCTCAAACTTCTCACCTGTGGAACTCTCTTTCAATTTCTTGCTTCCCTGCCAACTACAAACTTTAAAAATTTAAATACAATATTAATCACCATATTCTGTCTTCTTGAACCTTGTTCCTTTGTTAACCTTTCCTCAATCATCTCCACTAAAGTCTTCTCATTCTCTTTCATTCATAGTAACACCTGGTGTCTTAGTGACATTATTGCCTTGCTTGGAGTGAAACGATTAAAAAAACAAAAACAAATTTAATGTAAGGATATAATTACTCTTTCTCAAATGGCTAAGTGGTCAGAGCATGACCATGAGACCTGAATTTGAATCTAATGCTTATTGATTTGTCAAGAGGGTTACTTCTTCATAATATTAGCCTTGGTAACCAATCCCAAGAATGCAACATCGTACCACCCAAACCGTGTAAGTGAAATTGGGTAGAAAAAAATGTTCAGAAATTATCAATGGTCATCATAAGTCTTCATGACTGAGAATTTGAGTGTACTGGCTTTGAATAACTACTGATTTTGCCAGGGGTTATGTACTCTCACCCATAAACTGTAATTCAGGTTCACTCAGAATAGTTACAGTATAAATCACAGGTAGACTTGGGTGTTGAAGAAACACAAATGTGCCTAAGCAGCCGTCTGCAACAGGGATTAGTCAACCACCTTAGCAGACAGACATACTCAGAAATGAGCAACCAGCCTTTACTTACTCTTTCTCATGATGCAAAAACATATTTGCAATCTTTTCTTAAAATTTTAAAGCATATCTAAGTTTTGAATAGTTTTATTTTTTAGAAGACATTGTAGTACCTGTAATGAAGGCAATGCATACGACTTTGCTGATCACTAAGTACATCTTGATTTTTAAGTCAGAGAGACCCACACAGACGTCATGTATGTGAATCATATATATAATTGGTGGGGAGGGGGTCTAATATTAACATACCTACCTCTCTGCTAATAGTACTAATGTTAAAAAGTACATCTAATGCCATCATTATTATTTACACTATTTATAGTTGGACTACTGTCCTCATCTTTGTTGTTGCAATTACTATACTTTGGTCATTGTTATCTTCTGGCCTTCACCAGGTGTATATCAATCTGGGTAACCTACAGGGAATTCTGAACTGAACCCTTTAATCTATGGGAATATTGTTCTATTTCCACTGACCATGTCTAGGGATATCTTGTCTCGGTCTTATTTATAGTATTGCTCAGTTATTATTCACCTGCTTCCATTGAGTCCAAGTACACACTTTAATCCACAGGACAATTTTCTGTAGTGAACTTGGAGCCTTAAACAGAACCGATCTGCTGATTAGTGCTGATATTGCTGCTGCCTGTCATGTTTTGACTCCTGCTGATGCTGCTGTTGACGACTTACTGTCATTTGTCTTCATTTATTCATTTAAGGCTGCCATATTGTATTTATTTTTATGCTAGGCCTACTAAGAGGGTCCTCATAGCCTAGCGTATGTGCAGTGGAACAAGAACAGTCTAGCCTGGTAGATTAAATAAAGAATTCAATTCAGAATTCCCTTTAAGTTGCCCAGATCAATATATGCCTAAGGGAGACCAGAAAGCACAATGGCCTATAGATGAGGAGATTAGTCTGCGTGTAAATAACTCCTCATGCCAGGAATTCAAATGGAAGGTGATCAGGTGATAACAATAACAAAGATGAGGACAACAGTTTGCATGCAAATAATGATAACTCCTCATGCCAGAAATTCAGACAACAGCCATTATTTGATATTTTTTTGTTGCAGTCAATACACTCTCTTCATTTAAATAATAATAATAATGATGGAAGTGATGAATATGTTGATTTTATTTACCTGTACCAAACAGATGAATAGCCAACTGTAATAAGCATTTTTTTAGGTTTTCTTCTAACTTCTGGGCAGTGATAATTGTATGCCAAGCTTGTTTCTGTGGTGTTCTTTCTCCATTTTCAAAGAGGCAAAAATTGGTTTGACCAGGAAATAACTGCAAAAAAAATAAATAAATAAATAAATTCACTTACTGTATGAGTAAAGATTCAATGTTTGTTATTTAAATTTTAAAAAATGAAATTCACTAAAAAAAAAGGAAGTGAAGGATGAAAGGTGGGAGGTAAGAAAGAGAGAGGAGGAGGTAAGAAAGCTATAGAGAGCAGGAAAAAGAGGATGTGAAGGAGGTAAGTAAAGCTAGGGAGAGTATGAGGAGGAAAAAGAGGATGTGAAGGAGGTAAGTAAAGCTAGAAAGAGGATGAGGAGGAAAAAGGGGATGTGAAGGAGGTAAGAAAGAGAGAGGAGGAAGAGGTAAGAAAGCTAGAGAGAGCAGGAAAAAGAGGATGTGAAAGAGGTAAGTAAAGCTAGAGAGAGGATGAGGAGGAAAAAGAGGGTGGTAAGAGGTAAGACTAGAGGAAAACAAAAAGGAAACCAGATAAAAGGAAAAATAGTGAGTGAGTGAAGAGATGGGAGCAAAAGAAAGACAAAGATGAGCTTCCTTTCTGAATAACAAGAAACAAGACTTAAACAAAAATAGGGATAGAAAGGAATGAAAATTGCAATAAAATTCTTTATCGAATGATAGAGCAAAATAATGATAAAAGAAAGAACATACTGGAAAATAATTGTGCATTCCTTTTTTTTTCTTTTTTAAATCTGAAAATATTCCATATTTGTATAACATTTAGATAAAAAGATGGACAGGCAATGAAGATTGGAAGGGAAAAGGAAGAGAATATGAAGATACAGGTAAAGGCTGAGAGAAGAGCAAAAGCATGAGATAATAAATCATCTTTCTTGTTAACATTAGTCAGTTTACTATTATTATTATCATCACCATCACCACCACATGCATGATCACACTAGAGGGTAATTTTTGAAGAGTAAGTGACAGCAGGTCTGCTTAAAGCTTCAGCCTCTTTCTCAGGATAACTGAAAACTTAAGAAACATCAGAGTCTGTCCAGTCTCAACTCTTCATCTAATTTCCAATTCACCCAGAGTCTTGGCATGGTTACAAGTGAGCCTCCTTTTATAGGTACAGCTTTAATGAATATATTCTCAACTCTCAGGCAAAATCCTGGTAATTTTCTAATTTACCATACTTCTTCATATTCACTTTATGGTTCACTGGCACAGTTACATCTCTGACCCAGCATCTTCTTTCTTATCCATGTTATAAAGTTGTATGTTGAAATTCCAAAGTATTTTTAGATTTTTTATTTTCCCAGTCAGACTGGTTTGTGCTGGTATCATTTTTCTATATGGCTGAACCCAAGTCATTTGCACTGTTCCCAGTGTATGACTGTTGCCACCCTGTCATGCATTCTTTTGGGGCCAGCTTACTACCTTCACTGATTATATGGTTTATCATCTACTGTTTTTCGCAGTTTTGTCAATCTTCACTTCATAACTTTCTTTAGTTGAACATGTCAAATTATTTTCTCTAAGAATCTTGTAAAACAATTTGGAGGAATTGTTGGGGTGTCAATCAGGGTTCAAAGGTTGATATGCTGTCAAGTTGCTAATTAAAATAATCAACAAAAGTAATAATTTAATCTAATTTTATAATAAATCAAATTCTTATTCTGGGGAGGGGGGGGAAGTCTTGTAAACAAATTAGTTAAACACTAAAAATCTATTCTTCAGATAAACCCTTTCCCTGCCAATTATTTTGGGAAAAAGGTTTCATTTTCAGACAAATTTTTTTTAATTTGTTTTTAATATAGTAACTAAGAAACTGAGGCAACTTGAAGTACCTGAGCAGTGGTTAACACCTCTACCAAATGTATGAGTTGACAATTGTACTTGTTTCAAGCTCAAAAGGAGCTCAAAAAGTCACGGTGGACGTATAAATACATCTATAGCTGGTTTTTGAACACTATGTTTTGGACGTGTTTATTTGTCCATGTCTGAAAAAGACACTTTTGGTAACAACATATATACATGTCTATGCAAGGGAAGGGGTTAACTCCCTAACATACTAAAAGGAGAAAGCTATCAGCATATTTTGTCAGACATATAAAATTCAATGATTAAAAAAAATAACCATACCACACATGAAAGACTTTTAATAAATTCTATGTGCCATGTCCCTTCAAGAGGTGGGCAATCATGGCTCATTATAGCATCCTGATTTATATATTTTGTTGTTTTCAGTAATACTTGCTCATTTAAGATCTCTTTGTATTTTGTGGTGCCAAATGTCCTTCTACAGGCCATCTGAAGGCATTATGCAACTCACATAAACCTTAATAACTCGTGTTCCCTTTGAAGAATTTTTGTCAAATTTTAAATGATTAATTTAGACGTCAAAACAAAACAGGATTTAAATTGTTTTGGTAGTTTCAACATCTTTTATTGAAGTTATTGGATTTATTATAAAAACTGCAGTCTGAAGTTATTATGTAAAACCAGAAAATTACTTTTTATTTCACAGTAATAAAATCATCAACAATTGATCAACATCTTTAATAGAACAATTAACAAACATATATGTCAAGAACTATGAGCAGAGATCAATACACAACCAACGATGGCTGGAGGGTACAATGGCCAAAATGTTGTGATAACAACAAAAATATAATATACTTTGAATATAAATAGTGAAAAATATATGTCTTTGAATTCTTTACATCTTAATATTGTGACTCTTCTTTTCAATAACAGCCAGCAATCTATTATCCATTGATTTTATTAAATCTTTTACTTATACAGCTTCTCATAGATTTGCTTTGCTGTTATATTGTTTGACACCTTTATATAATTTCATCTTCACAATTGACCATAGATTTTTGAATGGATTCAGATCAGGACTTGATGGTAGCCATCCTATTATCATCTCTCCTGTAAATCTTTTATGCTCAAAAAATTCACGGGTAACCTTAGGTTCATGAGAATGAGTTGTGTTGTGTATAAATACACACTTTACTTTGAAACTGCAAGGCTGGGACTTATACCCTTAATTTTGGGTTGTCAAAGTGGGTATTTGCGGTTGACTAATATTTGTTAAATATTTTCAGATATTCACCTTTATTTCAAAACTTTGTTACATATATTAAAACATAAGAAAAGTGTTGAATATCATTAATCACTTCGACGCTAAAATCACTTGAAAATGATCGTCTTTTATCGTAAATCAGATAATAAATGGTAAATATCGAACAGTGCAGATCAATCGCTTTTATTCAATGTGTATAACAGGGTACTGTTGGAAGAGGTGATTGCATAAAATCAAAATGTTAGGGAAAAATTAATTTTCTCCCTTTGCTCTCACTTATGCTCGAGCCCAGGCTACTCACCTTGACTACTAATATGCCAGTCTACTCAATAATGTTGAGTGGATAACGTCACACTCCTGATTTTTTTCAAAATTTTGATGAAAAATGTGACTTATCCTCGAGTATATACAGTAATAATGATCCTAAACACACAAGTTCACTGGTGAAACATTGTCTGAAAAGCAATAAGATCTACATCTTAACCTGGACTGCAATGAGTCCAGGCATGAATCTAATAAAAAATTTGTGTTGAGAATAAAGTTAAGATTCATTCAGGATAACCTTTAAATTTAATAGAGTTAGAGTGGTTTGCTTTCGAAGAATGGAACAATAGGCGAAAAGAAATTTATAATAGATTAGTTACTAACTATAAAACTAATTAATTGATCTCTTCTTTATAAATTATCAACCCTTTGTGGTTTATTTAAAAATTAAAATATATTTTGGAGGTCGCTTACACGTTGGACATGGTGTTCCCAAGTGGTCCCTTAACTATAGAAAATATTAAAGTTATTGAGCAGAAAAATTATGCCATTGACTATTAGCGATGACATATGGATCATTTTTGTCCTTGCTGATTTTGTTCAAGTCCTGTTTATAATGTTATTGTATTGAATAAGGTTTCTGAAATGTGTTATGAATATTTATTCAGAACTTAAGATCCTCTTCTAACTTTTATATACACGTAAAACAATATCTGTTTTAACATCTGAAAAATCAATTGGAATATTTAAAATAAAATTGGGTGTACTATGCAGAGAGGAATAAATTATTTTTTTAAAACAGACAAAATGTTTTGTTTGTCATTTAAATTTTTTTTATTACATATTAGTTAGTTTTGAATATAGATAGAAATTAGTTTCAATCATACTGTCCCAAATATAGTGATGCCTGTGGTGGAAAAAAGTTAATAGTATAACATACACCCCTAACTTTTAAGCTGAAATCTCTGATGAAAGGAGTGTGTATTATACATAAATAAATTATGGTAAAATTACTATAAATGTAGTGAGATGCAAATTAGTATAATTTGCATATGAGCAGGTAGCTCATATGATAAACGGACACCAACTAGAACAGAGGTGGAACGCTTACTTAGCAATATACACGACACAACAATGGCGTCGCTGATAGGATACTCTTTGGTCCTTGAAGACCCAGAGTACGTAGATACGTGGATTCGTTGCTTTGCTGCTAATGCAAGATGTAAAAAGTTGAAAGACAACAAAAAAGAGAGGAGGGAAAATGAAATCACCAACTTGTTTATGGCTACCGCTGGTTGTGAAGCGATTATGAAGGTTGCTACAATGGTTTACCCTCGAGAACTAGAAGAAATGACTTTCGAAAAAATAAGTCAGGTCATTAAGGGAAACATGAGGCCAAAGAAAAGACTGGTGATTGCAGAAAGGACCAAGTTTATGGCAATGAAGCAGGAAGTGGATGAACCGATAGTAAAATATTTACACCGGTTAAGAAGTGCGAGTAAATACTGTGAATTCGAAAAACTAGGAACAGGAGAGCAGACAACGGAAGAAGAATTAATCCAACTAAGATTAATTGAAGGTATGCATAATTCAGCACATAGATATAAGTTAATGGAACAGTTACAACTTACAAACATGCCTTTGAATATGTGTATAGAATTTATACAACAGCAGGAATTAGTACATACCTACAACCAAAATAAAAATAAATCCTACGAAGAAATAATGGCTGAAACATATACGGTACAAACAAAAAAAAAAATATTGCGTACTGTGGAAAAATTCATGAAATGAAAAAGAAAAATGCCCAGCCTTTGGAAAAACGTGTTCCAAGTGTTTAAAAAAAAATCACTTCAAAGAAGTATGTAAAACGAAAAATGTGGAAAGAGTAGAGGATGAAAATAGACAGATTTTTAATGTAAAAAAGGATAACATACAAAATACTGGATCTAAGAACGGAGATACAAAAATAAAAGTGAAAATCAACGACTGTATTGTCGAAATGCAAATCAACACAGGTAGTGAGGTCACGATAGTACCCAGAAATTTGTGGGAAAAAATGGGAAAACTGTTTTTAAAAAAAAACAATGTACAATTACGTCGGTTTGATGGCTCAATTATAGCAATTACGGGTTACTTTGAAGGTTCAATAGAACTAAAAGAAAAATATGAAATAGTACCCATTATAGTTACAAACGCATGGACTACTGGGGAATGACGTGTTAAAAATAAATTCAACGAAGTTGATTAATGAGATAGAAATAGAAAAAACAGGAAAATTAAAAAATTATGAAGCTAGCCTGAAATTAAAAGAAAATGTTTCCCTCTCCTACTACGAAGTGAGAAAAATACCAGTGCATTTATTACCGTTGGTAATAGCTAAATTGCAAAAGCTAATAAAGGAAGACTTATTAGAACTTGCCCCTCCAGGAGGAAGTAAATGGGCATCACCCATTGTGGTATTTGAAAAAAAAAGATGGTGACCTGAGAATTTGTGGAGATTATAAAATAGGGGTGAACTATAAAGTTTGTGCTGACTCGTACCCTATTCCGAATGTGGAAGTAGCTTTACATAAACTTGCTGGAATGAAAGTATTTTCGAAGATAGACCTAAAATCAGCTTACCACCAAATACCAATAAATGAAAATTTTAAAGAAGTGACGACCATAAACACACCTATAGCCCTGTTAAGGTGGAAAAGAATGCCGTATGGCATAAAAAAGGGCAAGTGCAATTTTTTCAAAAAGCTATTGAAAAAGTAATAGGAAATGTTGAAAATACCATCTGTTATCAAGACGATATATTTGTTGGAGATTTAAATGAAGATGATTTAAAGAAAAAACTGAAAATATACTGAACCGGCTAAGAGACGCTGGTATGACAATAAATACAAAAAAGTGTGTAACCAACAGTAATGAAATATCATTTTGGGTTACTCAATATCAAAGGAAGGATCTCTCCAGATAAAGTACTAATAGAGAAAATTCTAAAAGTTGCTACACCGAAAAAATAAAAAAAGTTGGAGTCCTTCTTAGGTTTGGTAAATTTTTATAGAAAATATGTACCAAAATATAATGAGTTGACAGAACCATTTGCTAAGTTAAGAAAAAAAAATGTGGAATTCATTTGGTTAGAACACCAACAAAAAGCCTTTGAAAACTTAAAACAGATTCTGGCAAAAAAGCCAATAGTACAAATTTTTGACCCTAAGAAGGACATAACTCTAACTACTGACGCTAGTGAGCAGTCCATATCTGGTATTTTGTCACAAGATGGGCATCCCATAATGTACTTATTGAGGAGATTAACAACAACTGAACACAATTATTCGAATATAGAAAGGGAGGCACTAGCCATAGTGTGGACAACGGATAGAGCAAGACAGTTTTTGATGGGAAAAAAGTTCTTGTTGAAAAGTGATCACAGGCCACTGGAATTTATTTTCAACCCAAGAAAAGAGCTACTGAAAGTTACAACGTCCAGAATATTACGTTGGGCGATTAGACTGATTGCGTTCGACTTTGACATTGAATATGTTAAAGGGAATACGATACCGCACGTTGATGCCTTATCTAGATTGAGGTTTTATAGAGAGGAGAAGGACAAAAACGACGAGGAATTTGAAGACACATTCTTGCACCTTGTAGAAACCGATGTAATATCTGTAGATAAAATGGCTACTGAAACTACAAATGACCCAGTGTTAAATAGAATAATGTCAAGGATCAAACAGAATCGCTGGGGAAATTGTTCAATGGCTGAAAGACCATTCAAAGAAATCAGACATAAAATGACTATAGAAAACAGGATAATATGTAATGGAGACTTGGTAGTTCCCCCAGAAACACAGAGGAGACAGGTTATAAAAAGTGTACACGATGACGTACATTGTGGAGTGGCAGCTACGCAAAGAAGATTAAAATTGGAAGCGTGGTGGCTGGGGTACTCAAGAGACGTAGAAGACTACGTAAAAAGATGCAAAAAATGCACAGAACTCAGGAATTTTAAGCAAAAGAAAATACATGTATGGCCCCGAGAAGTAGAACCATGGAGCAGAGTACACATGGACCATGCCTATGTCAATGGGATAGGACTATTATTAATATTAGTAGACGCATATTCAGGTTGGCCTGAAGTGGTGAGAGTACCTGATAAAAAAAGTACCACCGTAAAACAAATATTAAGAGTAATATTTTCGAGGAATGGAACACCGAGAACATTGGTGACTGATAACGCACCAGAATTTGTGGATGCTGATTTGCATGAATGGCTAAGAAAAATAGGATGCAGACCTTACAAGCCCCCTCCCTACCACCCTCAAAGTAATGGGACAGCGGAAAGGATGGTCCAGATGGTAAAAAAGGGCATAAAAGCATGCTTGCAACAGAAGGAGAAAATCGATGCTTTTCTACCAAGACTATTATTAAGTTACAGAACAATTCCACATGCAGGCAGGCCGGAAAGTCCATCTGCCTTAATGGGCAGACAGTTAAAGTCCCCTTTGACTATGTCATATGCACAAATCAAAAGATGTGGTACAAAAGAAATAGGAATATGCAACCCGAGTCAGCCGAATTTATTATGCAGAAAGGACATAATACTGCAATATTAAATAAAGAAAATGGGAACAGTGTTCTAGCTCATGCTGACCAAATAAGATCCCAAGGAGAAGAATCGGATGAGGAAATGCCTTCAGAGATGCCCATTAATCACGTAACAGAAGAGTTAATGCAGAATGAAACTGCGGAGGAAGAAGTAGAATGGGACAAGTTAGAAGAGGAAGAAGTAGAATGGGACAAGTTAGAAGAGAAAGACCAGAGTATGCAAGAGGAACAGATTGATTATAGGGAAAGACATGATAGATCTAGATCTCCAAGGGAAAGGAGAGAGATAAAGGAAGATGTTCAGGAGGGCACAAGAAGAAGTATAAGAAGTACTCGCGGCATAAGGCCCCTCCGTTATAGGGAGATGTAGTGAGATGCAAATTAGTATAATTTGCATATGAGCAGGTAGCTCATATGATAAACGAACACCAACTAGAACAGAGGTCGAACGCTTACTTAACAATATACACGACACAACAATAAACTTTGTAATAAAGTGAAATAACTTACAACTGATTCGGTGAAGAGTCGAACTCCCTCAACCTGATGAAAGACTGGGTAGTGTGTGCAATCAATTGCATCCCTTCGATAAACATCTCCAATAACAAGAAAACCATCCAGGCCCGAACGTATCATGTCACTTTGGTGAGCAGATGTGTGAGCCCTAAGCATGAAGTTGGAGTTGATATAGTAACTGTCAGTTAGTTTCCGACTCACATGGTCATGGGGTACCAAGAGGCTATCAAAATTCTGCTGCATAGTGACAACAGGACTTAAATTATCATAAACTGAAAATAAAGGGTTGCCTCGACTGTTTTTTGCATAACCGTAGAAAAAGTCCTGTATTCTAACACGGATCAAATTCAGCGGATGATGTTTCTTATTGTGAAGGTTTTGGCCTATTTTGGATAAAATGGCAGGTGTGACATTTGTCATAGAGTTACATTCATAACTTGTTCCCAAAATCTGAATTCTTTCCTGAGGATGCTTAGAATTTTTATTTGCTGCCTTTGAACTTGAAAAGCAGCATGTATAAAATGGGAGTGTCCTTTTATTAGCAGAGAACAGATGTGCTGAAAACCTGTGAAAAGAAAATGACAAAAATGGGGTTCAACTGGATTTCAATAGACGACATACATAAGCTAGATATGTAGACTTTACAAAGATTAGATTGACAACTGGAAAAAAAGCCTTTGGTGATGGTTTGAAATTAGTTTTCATATTCTTAACTGTTTTAGTAATTAGTATGACTATTCTGGCACAAACAATAAAATCCTTGGTTTCTCCGCTAAGCAAAGTTATAAATAGGTTCAAATTGATCACAGTTGGTAGAAAATACAACAAGCAAACTAAGATCAAATTCTAGTAAATAATCTACGGTAGTGAAGAAAACAGCAAATTACCTTGTCAAACCAAGCGACAGTGTGTCACGTGTATTCTACAATGGAAAATGTGGTGAAAAAGAAAGTTACTTGCTGAAAAAAAGGGCACGTATTCTGCATGATATTCTGAAGACAGAATATCCAAATTAGAAATACGCCAGTCACAGGAGTCACCATAAAAGTATTTTGGATATGATAACATTGTGTTTCCTCTCCCAGTTGTTGACAAATGAAAAAAATGCTTGGTCGATAAAAGCAGTTGGTGTCCTCGAATCAGGGAACAAAGACAAAATTTGTGTATTTGGCTACTGCGGTCAATGTTGAGCAAGTTATTTTTCTGACTGATTACGTGCATTGTGATTTGTGAGATAGTACCTGCAAGTCAAGATTTTGACATTTCTTTCTACCCCTGATATTCAAGTTTGAACTTGCGATTTGTTCTCTTCATTGTGGATGTAATATGTGACAAATATTTCCTTTCCAATCCAAGAACTCTTACATCTACTGATCTCTTAAGAATTCAACTCTTTCTACATGATTCTTGAGAGTCCATTGCTGGTATACCATTGACAATATTTGTTTTAGCATGGACCTTGTCAATGATATAACAGGAGGATTCATCATTTATATTATTTACAGTCAGATATTAGTCTGACAGTAAATAATAACAATGCCTGATGCCAGAAATTCAGACCCTATATCAGATATTATGAAAGTTAAAATTTTGACAACTGGTGTAACTCAATCTTGGTTATCATTTCATGATATATTTATATAAGCAAAATGTAGAGAAAAATGGTCAGGGGGTCAAAAAGTGCAGTGCGGTGCTCGCCGACAGGCCAACTTTTTTTTTCTTCTCTTCGGTCGCCTCAAGGAAATGGATTGCGTGGCTTCCTTTCTCACTCGTTACACTGGGCAGTTGTGAAACAGACACCAGCTCAGCTGTGCCTACTTCGACTTCCTCTTTGTCCGTCTGTCAATCTGTACGTCAAGCTCTATTGCACGCTGTCCGCCAAATGACTTCCCTTCTGCTGTGCTGCTGGCACCCTGCTTTTTATGCTATTCCAATACAGCCAAAATTTGCATGTGTGTCTCATTCTGGCCAAGATAGGCATGCATAAATTGCGTCTTCAATAGTGGCCATATTTCTTTTTGTCATCACTTTGCAGGCAAGACACGTTCGCGCTCGTTTCAAATTCTGAGGTAAGTCATGTCTTTCATCACACAAAATAGTATGTGAATTTCATCTTAGAATACTGTAATGAAAAACTGAACTTACATACTATTGATTTCATGGTCAAAGAAACTTCAAAGATCATCTAAGTGGATTAGGTTTCTGAAAGTGTAAACTTCAAAGATCATCTAAGTGGATTAGGTTTCTGGTAAATTCAAAAAATCATTTGGATTAGGTTTCTGAAAGTGTAAACTTCAAAGATCATCTAAGTGGATTAGGTTTCTGAAAGTGTAAACTTCAAAGATCATCTAAGTGGATTAGGTTTCTGAAAGTGTAAACTTCAAAGATCATCTAAGTGGATTAGGTTTCTGAAAGTGTAAACTTCAAAGATCATCTAAGTGGATTAGGTTTCTGAAAGTGTAAACTGAAAGTAGGAGACCTGGGAGGGGTGGGATGAAAAAAAAATCAAAGTTGAGCAGGGAAGACAAGTCATATTTTATTGTTGACAGTTTCCATTTTTTACGGGAGCTGAGTTTTAATTTGGTGACACGTGCACATACCTATCAGCAAATTAAAAGAAAAAAAAACAAAAAAAACATTGGATTATCCCTGTAGTTTCAATTCAATAAGATCAGTGCAATCATTGAATTGTGAACATAATTATCTGCACAAAAGCAGGTAAGTGAAGTCTCATCCAGTCAACCACTATATTAGTACAAGGTTAAGAATCCTTTATCTGAAATTCTTGGGACCAGAAGTGCATCCATTTTCAGATGTTTTTTCATTTTTTTTTTATTTTGGAATACTGGCTATTTGCTCATAGCATCTATTGATAAAGATAAATGCTTTTTTTTTTTTATCTTTTCACTACCCATATGGGCAGCTGCAGGACTTTTTGACATTTTGAATATCTTTACTGAGCATGAAACACCTGGTAATTAATCCACAAATTAAGATGTTGCTGTGAGGATCACTAAAAAAAAACTGGTGTCAACATAGCTGGGCTGGGGAGCCCTTACCCAGAGCAGATGAGGGTCACTTACAACAGCTGCACATCACCTTTCGGATTTTGGAATTTCGGATAAAGGATACTCAACCTGTATAATATGAGGGGAAGTCAAAAATTATCTGCACTTTCACCATAATATATCTTTAGTCAAGAGTTTTTACATTTCTTCATAATATAAAATGATATACCAAAAGCTGAAGAGTAGAGCAACAACAACAAAAAAAAAAAAAAAAAAAAAAAACTAGTCAGATATATTTTGCGGGTTAATTCAAATAACATTGGAAATAGAAAAAAAAAAAAAGAACAAATTTATCTTACAAATGTTTCTAAATACTTAATTCAAGTAATTTAAATATTCGACATGTTCCTTAACTTTGGTAACTGTCACAAAAAGTTGAACTTTTGCTTTCTTGATTCAACATTTGAAGAAATTTTCTAGATCAAGTGGATTAGATTTCTGAAAGTGAAAAGACTGTCACGTAGGCTGGTATCATCAATAAAGAAGGTGAAAGGTTTAGAATAAATGAAATGACTCCAAATATGTTCAAAGGATTAATTTTCGTGCAAAGTTTAACAGCTAAAAAAGAAATACGAGCAAAAAGTTCAACAAAAATTGAACAAAATAATACTACACTGCAAGAAATAGTGACTGTCTGTAAGACAATGTCACTAAATCTGAAACACGATGCTGAAGAAATTCAGAAAAAAGAATGTGCATTGCTACAAGCAAAGGACAAATGTACAAAAAGGAGAAATTTTTATTTCAGATGTGGTAAATTACAACTTGGAAAAGACTGTCCATTTAAAAATGCAGAATGTTACAAGTGTGACAGACGAGGATATATAAAGTCACACTGCAAAACTAAACCAACAAAAAAATCCTCATAAGAAGAAATTAGTACACAGCATTGCAACAGATAAAATGGTTACAGAAAGCAAAAGGAAATTTGTAGATGTGAAAATGCTACTGGACACTGGTAACAATATTTTAATAATCAGTGAAACGACATGGAAGGAAATTTGAAAGCTTTTATTAAAAAGGACTTCCAAAGTCATGATTTCAGTTTCTGGTGAGAATTTTTTTTTTTTTTGAGAAATAATTTGTAATGTCTTTTTCATAATAAGCATGTAAAAACTAAAGATTTTGTATTAAAAAATGCTATGAATTTATTCGGAAAGGACTGGATGAAACTATTTGAAGTTTGGGATTTACCAATAGACATTTATTGTAAAAACATAAGTGGACAAGCGACCAATTTAAAAAGTCAGAGTGAAAGTCTCAAGGAAGAATTAAAAAATATTTTCCAGATGTTCTGACAAATGAACTCAGTTGGTGTTCAACATTCAAGGTGGATTTTCAAGTAAAAAAAGGTTTGATGCTGGTATTTAAGCCAAAACAGAGTATACCATTTGCAGCAATAGAACAAGGTAATGAAGAGTTGGACAGACTTGAAAGAATTGTTGTAATAAAAAAAAATTAACCAATTAAAATGGGCTACACCAGAAGCAGTGTATGTGAAGAAAAGTAATAACAGAATTCATGTTTGCATGCATTTCTTGACTGGATTAACAGTTATTTAGAAACATAACTACCTATTACCAAAGTTAAATGGTGAAAAAATATTTTCAAAGTTGGATCTTTCTGAAGTGTATTTACAAATTCAGATTGAAAATGAATGTTCAGAATTAATGACCATAAATATGCACAGAGGATTATATAAATTTTAGCTGACTTTTTGGTATAAAGGTGGACACTAACTATTTTTCAACAAACCATGGATACCATTCTTGTCAATTGCAACTTTGCAGAGGCATATCTAGACAACATTTTGATCAAAAAGTGTATTGGAAGAACAATATGTTGGACATGTGAAAACAATTTTGGAAAAACCAAGAGAATACAAATTCAAATTTAGTAAAGAAAAATATTAGTTATTTTTGCTGAAAATGAAATACCTTCGTCAAATTATTGATAAAAATGGTAGGCAATCAGATCCATCGAGGAAGATACAATTAAAAATATGCCTACACCAACAAATGTGACTATATTACATTTTTAGGACTGGCTAATTACTATCAGATGCTAGTGAGTACGATATTGGAGCGGTGATTTTACACAAATATGATGCCAATAAAATGAAAGCCTTTGCTCATACTTTACAATTGATTCTACCAGCAGAGAAAAATTACAGCCAGATAGAAACATGAAGCTCTAGCAATTATATTTACTGTGAAGAAATTTAATATATTTATTCACAGAAGAAATTTCATGTTGCAAACAGACCACGAACCTTTATTAACAATATTATTCAAAGAAATGTATACAGCTAATAGATTACAACACTGGGGTACCATTCTGTTAAACTATTTTTAGTACGAAAAAAAAATTACAATGGAGTATGAACAATGATTTTACAATGGAGTACGAACTGTCAAAAAGTTAGAATGTGGTTGGATTATCTAGATTAATACCTAAAAATGTGGAGCCATTGGAGGACACGGTCATGGCAGAAACT